GCCCCGCGCTCGCCGGGCCCCTCGGCTGCGCCCCGAGCCGCTCATTGGCTCCGCGCGCTCCGCGCTGCCTGCTCCCCGCGGCCCCGTGAGCTCCGCGCCTGCGGCTGGGCCGCCGCCCGGTGCGCTCGCGCCGGCGAGGATAGTTTCCGTGGGTTTTGTTTTTGCTGCAACTCCATTTTGTAAAAGCAAGCAAGACAAAGCACCATGCCGTCCTAAAACTTCAGGTTCTGTTGTTTGAATTTTAAAGGAAATTCTTACTGTAAAGATTGCCCGGAGGGTTCTGAGAGGCCGCGTTGAGCTTAGGTTTTGGGGTTTTTTTAATTATTGTTAGTCTCTCTTCACTGGAAGTCTGAAACCAGACTATCTGAATCAATCCCTGTTTCGCCTCAAAGGCTGTGTGGGGGAGTTACAGAACCTCGCAGTATCACCACCACACCCGAAATGGAGCTCCTAGCAGAACCTGCCTGCTGCAAGTCCTAGAATAACATACAGTGTCATGTATACACATATATGTGCGCACGTATGTGCGAGAGGGGTGCGCCTCCATCGCGGCTGGCTGGCAGGCACGTACATTGTAAGTTGCAGCTCCCCCCCACGGGGGGGAACCTATGAAATGCCACTGAAGGATCACTTGTGATATGGTCGCCCTTGCTTGGGACACTGGCCCCGGGGAATGTCAGTGGGCTCGGGATCTGGAATGCCACTAGCTGGCTTGTCTGTGATATGGTACCATGTGTATTTTAAAAAGCAATGCGTGCACACACCTTAGGAACTGAATCCAGCAATTATCTGCTGAAGTTCAGGCAGTGCTGGGTGAAAGCGTGCGTCTTACATCATTACTCCAGGTTCTTAGACCTTTGCCCAGCCTCTTGCCTCTGCTAGGAATTTTATCCATTCCCCCTCTCTGTGTGGTCTATCTTCCTGCCAAAATCAGTTCCCTGGCTTCCCTCCTTTGAACTCCAGTCAACTGCATGAATATGTGGTCCTACCACAAGCTCTTGTGGGATTATTTGTCTGGGTAGGCACACACATCTGTGCATGTAGGTATTTATGTGTAGCTCTTTTCCTCTGCTCCATTATAAAAGCTCCCCCGAAGGCAAGGACTGTTTTAATACCTTCTTATTGTCACTGTTCTCAGCACAGCACCTTGCAAGCATTCAGCTGATAATTACTAGAGGAAGACTCAACAGAATGTGGGGTGGTTGTAAATTGTTTTTTCATTAACATACTTCTTAGCTAACTTTTAAACTTAATAGTACCCATTTAATCTCTACTACAAATAGAATTAAGTCGGCTTTTACCAAAAAGACAAAAACAAAAGCTAGCGCTTCCTTGACACTCCTCAACCCCCTCTGGCCACCTCCCACAGACATGAAAGAGATTGCAACTTTAATTCTTAATTAACCAGATTCTCTATTAGATCTAAAAATGGAATTATGTTCAAGGTTTTCCAGGCATACAAAATCAGTTCTATTCAGGTCACCTCTTCTTTGTGCCTACTGTGTGCCAAGTTCTACTTCATAATACAGGAATCAATTTTGCTCCCTCATTTTAGTCAGACATTGAAGAATAATGACTTTCCTGCCTGTCAAATGCCCCTTGCCCTTATCGTCCGTCATTGTTTCATTCTACTTATTTCCAAAAAACATTTTGCTCTGGTTCTGAATTACATTCCTTCAGGCTGGGTGGAGTCTATTATTGTGGCCTGTGTTATATCACACACTGACAACTATATTTATATGGGGGACTGAAACATGTTTTTACACACTAGCAATAAATCTTGTTAAAGCAGACAAGTGGCTATGTCTCCAAACCCTCCCACCCCTTCTTCCCGCCAGATGACACTCTGAGCAGGCTCATTAGTCCAGGGCGAGCCATTTGCCCTAACAGCTTGTACATCTTCTTGAAACAGTGTTACCACCAAGTTTAAATATGAAAACTAATGTATTCAGATAGTTCCACCAATAAATGGTCACAAATAGGAAAAAAGGTTATGCTTTCCACAGTATCCATTACGCATTAATAAATAATGCTATCATTTACATGCCAATTAAGACAAACTTTAGCTGTCAAATGAAGTCAGGAGCAAGGAGCTCAGTGCTCTAATTGTTTTTCCAGGAAAGCACCCAATGTCATCAGATTAAGTGTGACTCACTGGGCTGCCCCAACAGCCGAATATTCTCCTCTCCAATCCAGTCCTCTGGACTTTCTTTCCTCTTTGACTCTTTGTTTTGGTTGCGGTTATTTGGAAGGCAGTTGAAAATAATCACCAGCTGCTTCCTAATGGGACCTCACTTTCCCCTACAGTTTTCTTTCCCTTTCTTTTTATAGCAGGGACTGTGCTTCTTCCTATCTCCTTTCAAGCATTGTTCAGCCCTAGTTAGTTCTTGTGCTTTTCCTTGGGCCTCTGTCTTCTCAGAAAAGCTACTTATCAACACTCAGAAAATGTGGTACTAAAGACGGAGTGGATCTGAAAAAAAAGCTGCCGTCGCCAGCAGGAGAGTCCTGGTTGAACATACTGCAGTTGTGCAGCTGTGCTTAGAGATGTTTCCTGGCCACAGTCCGAAAGAATCCTCAGATCCCACAGTCTCCAGCTTTGCCCTTGGGCAGAACAGTTTCTAAGAGTAACCCTGCCAAAGCCCAAGCATCATTCTACAAATTCCTGATCCAGCAGTGAGTGTGCTGTTGCCGACAAGGAAAGGAAAGACCATCAATTGCACATTTTGCAATAGAGAAAAGCAACAAAATGATGCCTTGCAGCTTTTATGACCAAACAAATGCAATGATGTAATTGGGAAAAGCTGTCTCCAAACAGGAGGAGGAAAAGTAAAGGGCAATCCTTTGAGTTTGGGTGATGACCACCATTTGAGGGTCTGGGATCAAAGCTCCAGCCAGACATCAAAGCCCATTTGAGTCTAATGCCAAAGGAGTGACAGTGAATTAAACTTCATATGTAAACTAATTAGTTTGACCCCCACAAGCAGGCCTTAGGGTCCATATTGGAGAAAGAAAGCAGACATTGAAACAAAAGAACAGGAAATAGAAAAGTTGGTAGAAAAACTCAGCCATTATTATGTGAAGTGACCCTAGACATTTTAAAGATCTTTTGAGGGCAGAGGGGGATAGGGAATGGCAGAGGAAACGAACTTTTTTGGGGGGGGGGTGCCAGGGATCGAACTGCGGTCCTTGCACTTGCAGAGCAGACCGGCAGAACCACTGAGCTAAATCCCCAGCCCAAGGAAATGAACTTTTGACAATGCTGGTCTTGTTTGAAAGGTTGTGAAACAGCTTCTCCCATCTCTGGCTGCACAACCGACACATTCACACTCGTAGAAGAAAAGGTTATCTCCCCGATGATTCCATGCACTTCACTTCTTCCGGAAGCTCAGGGTTCCTCATGCAGAGCACTGTGATTTCCAAAGACTCTCATGTCTCCATCTTTTTACCTTTTTTTGGTGGTACTGGGGATCAAATCCAGGGAAACTTTACCAGTAAGCTACATCCCTAGCCCTTTTTAAAATTTTTTTATTTTGATACAAGCTCTCACTAAAGTTGCCTAGGTGGAACTGGAACTTGCAATCCTCCTGCCTCAGCCTCCTGCAGTGCTGAGATTACAGAGGTGTGCCACTGTGCCCAGCTACTCCCCCACTGTCTGCATTATTGATATCTCTGTCAATCTCAGAGTTCAGTCACTTAACTCTGTCATTTCTACTGGTTATCTTTACAGGTAGAAGGAGCAGGATAGCAAGTGTACATACACCCTAGAACTACGTACCCTGGAACCAAAGCCATAAAACAAGTAAGACTCCTTCATTCTCATGCAAAATTTAAAAGTATTTCAGAGACAAGTGGTTTCCTTAAACACTTGTATTAGGTGAGTTTTGCCTTTATTTTGCTTTATGGGGACTGTTCCCCAGTTTTTTAAAATTGATGATATGACAAGCTGGCAAACCACTTAACACCTTATTTGATAATCCATAGAATATTTCTTTATAAAGATAAACACTAATGATTTCTTAAAGTAACAAAATCTAAATGTAAGACAAATCTTTTTAATAAGAAAAAAACTGTAAAAAGCCGGCTTCTAATAGGATGAAAGCGATCTGTACCGTCATTGTTACATTGCAACTCTTTGAATAATCATTCACTTATTCAATAGGTATTATTCAGTCCCTAACATATACCAGGCACTGAGACACAGAATCAGGGTTAGCCCCTACCTTGTGGTCTAGGAGGTAAATTGGAATAAAACAAATAATTATATACATGTGTGTGCACATATATTTCCAAACTTCGAAGTAACTACCTCAAAAAGCAAAATGATATTTTTAAAAGCAGGTATATTTTTCAAGAAAATGCAAATCAAAACCATAATGGGATATCATCTCATCCCAGTTAGAATAGCTATCAACAAAAATAACAGATGCTAGCAAGGATGCAGAGAAAAAGAAACTCTGATATACTATTAATGGGAATGTAAATTAGTACAATCACTAAGGAAAACAGTATGGAAGTCCCTTAAAAAAACTAGAAGTAGAATTATTAGGGCCAAGGATGTAGCTCAGCAGTGCTGCAACTGCCTGGCAAGCACAAGGCCCTGAGTTCAATCCCTAGTACCAAAAAAAAAAAAAGGAAAAAAAAAGAAACGTAAAAGTAGAATTATTAGAGAATTCAGTAATTTCACTACTGAGTATTTATCATAGGAAAAGAAATGCATCAAAGAGACACCTGTATTCCCATGTCTATTGCACTAGTCACAAAATCCAAATATTGAGTCAACCTAGCTGTCCATAACAGATGAATGGATAAAGCAAATAGGAAATGGAATATTAATTAGTCAACCATAAAAAGAGTGAAATTCTGCATTTGTGGCAACATGGATGAAGCTGGAGAGGATTGTATTATGTGATACAAACTAGGAACAGAAAGACAAATGTCATATGTTCTCACTTATATGTGAAAGCTAAAAAAAACGTTTTGATCACATAGAAGTAGAAAGTAGAGCAATGGTTACAGAGGCTGGGAAGGGGTGGGGAGATGAAGAGAGGCTGCTAAGTGTAGGGTAAATAGGAAGCCTATCTTTTCAAGTCGTATGAAACAGTAGCGCAGCCATACCTGACAACAATTGTATTTTCAAAATATCTAGTGGAGAGACCTTTGAATGTTCCCAACAAAAAGAAGTGATAAATGTATGAGGTAATATGCTAGTTACCTAATGCGATCATTACAATTCTATATATGCGTTGAAATATCAAATCATATGCTATAAATATGCATTTATGAATCGCTTAAAATTATTTTAAAAAATTTTAAAGCAGATATATTCTCTGATTATATGAAGAAAGTCATACTCAAATGAAATCATAAAAATGCATCCCTGACTTTTGTACTAGTTAAGTTTTTTCCAGGGAAGGGAAATCTTATGCTTTACTTTTCATTACTATTTTATTTTAACATTTCCTCTCCCTGAAGCCATATGTGAAGTTTCTATAGAGAGATACACATTCCATAGCACAACAGTCCGATACTTTCATCCACATGTTACAGACTGGGCTGCAGTAACGGGCAGCGACACAGGAACTTTGCAGTCGCTGCCCTACTGGGCTCCGTGTGACCTTTCCCTTGGAATAATCCTGGAAAGGAGAGAGTATTGGCCAGACCCAGGGGACTGTGAGCAGCTTCCGGGGTCCCCTGTCCTTTTCTCCCTCGCAGACACACCTGGCCACTCAGGCGCCGTTTGCTCGAGAGCGCCAGACTAGGGCCATGGAGCAGAGGCTTCCGCTCCGAGGCGCGGACAGCCGGGCCCGCTTTCTCCACTTCCTCTGCTCTTAGGAGCCCTGCTCTCTGAGGCCAGGCAGGACACAAAACAACCTCGCACGAAGCGCAAAACATATTTGCCTCCAAGACCCACACCTCCACTTTAATGAAGGCCCCGGGTGTCCCCTCCCTGTGGAAAGTCCAGAAGGCCGTGGTCACCCAGGGAGAGGCTGCAGCCGTGGTGCTGGTGCTGGCGCGGGCAGAGGCCGAGGTGGCCGCGCCCCACAGAGAGCCGCTTCCTCTGATCCCTGCACCTCGCGGTGTGAAGAGTCTCACATCTACTTCAAACAGAAATCAGGCCCGGAGCGCGTTTGGGCTGGGGGAGGACAGACTTGTGAAGAGCCTGGGGTCCCAAGGGAGGGCGGCTGCGAGGACGGACGGCCGTGCGCCGGCCGCAGAGATTCTCGCGGGCCGGGGGGAGCCCTGGAGCCGCCTCATCTCCCTTCCTCCCGAGTGCCCTGCTTTGAAGTCTGGAAGGGCGCTTGCTTCTGACCACAGACGGCGCAATTCCTTCCATTGAGTGCGGTCCAGGCCGACCCCATTCTGACAGCCAGGGAGTCTTGCTAGTGATGAAGAAACACTGCCATTGTTAGTCTCCACTCTTCTCTCTCCCAAACCCCATGGAGGAATCTGGTTGGCCCACTCTTGGCTTTAACAGCTCTTTTCATCAGAAGTTGGATCCGATTCCAGCATGGCACTTCCGGATGTGGTCCAGGGATATGGGTTTCAGGCTCGGGCTGGTTTCAGCTCCAGCCACATCACTTTCTACCATCCAAAATGCTCTTCACACACTGCTTGGCCACCTTGGCCTTTCTCAGCCTTGTTTTTCTCATCTGCAAAAATGGGGTTTATGCCTGAACTTATAGGAAGGTTGTGAAATAAAGTTTGGTTACCCTCAAGGGTAACCAGCCTTGATACTCACATGAGGAAACACACATTCATATTTTTTTAAAGTATACTAAGGGTATTTCCATGAAATAAAAATTATCATGGGCCAGGGATTTGGCTCAGTGGTTTCGCCGCCTGCTGCGCAAGCGCAAGGACCTGAGATCGATTCCCGGTACCAAAAAAAAAAAAAAATTATCATTAGCTATCTTGCTTGCTTTGAAAGTTCTCATAAAGCATGCATGGCACATTGTTTTTAGAGCATTTTATTTGCTTTTCAACTACCACTCACTCAAGGACACAAAGATAAAACCCAAGGATCCTGCTCTTAGACAATATGGACCAGTGGAGCTGCGTGGTGCATCGGGAAGAGCACAGGCTTCAACTGAGGCTGAATTCCTTCACCAAGTCATTCATGCTCTCTCAACCTCACCTGGTTCATTTTGTGAAATGGGCACTTACTTAATTTGCAGCAGATGTGAAGAGTCCAACACATAGCAGATGCCAGAAAGGGTTGACTTCCTTATTTCTTGCTTTGTATATTTATCTGAGGTATTATTTAAGTTATGAAGTTTATACACCTCTTCCCTTTTTTGCATAGCCTCTTATTATGGAAAATTTCAAATCATGAAAGCAGAGAAAATAGTTTATTTCCATAAGCCCATCACCCACGTTAGCAATTACAAACAGAATTATAAACAGGCTCTATTTTGACAATTTTAATACCAGCTAATATAAAATACTTACAGAAAAAAGATATTCTTTCCATCATCACTTTATTGTCAAGATATATGAAAAACACAATAAATGCTAGATGTTTTTATCATCATCAGTTTTTTCTCATGAACTAACCCAAAAACCTTTTGCAGATCTCATATAATACATCTTTCATCCAAAAAGTAAACCAGTCAGCCTGAAAAGCCAAAGCATCCCCAGTGTCTAACACAGGTTCTCTTCATTTGGGTTTGAGACATTTTTCATGAACGACTAAATTTCCTGTTACATAGATTAAACTAATGACCACTATACACAACGATACTGAAGCCAAAAATGTGACTTCAAAAACTCAGAAGAGAATGCTTGCCTTGGCATTGCCTGTCTTATTCAGTGAGATTTGAAACTCCTTGAGGGCAGGACAAATCCTACTTCATCTCAGACTCTCTCAATGATGGATACAGAGCAGACTCACCAGCGCTTGCCCAACTCAGATAGATTGAGATGATTCCTATCTGTGACACCCAAAAGTTCTGACTCTGGAGAATTCTATAAATAGATATTTAAAAACAAAAATTGCATGTTTGTCCTCTCTGCTCCATTTTCAGGAGTGTCTGAGTATGTGCACTTTAGGTAAATGTGAGGAAACAGGAAAGAGAGAAAGCGTTCCATTTCTGTAAAGATAAGAATGAAGTCTGATAAAGACAATAGACATTTGGGGTCAGGAGAGTTAAAACAAACAGACTACTCAGCCTGTTTGAAGTTGACAAGAAACAGAGAACTACCCACTGGCCCATTGTGGAGCACAAAGCAGCGTAATCAGCATTTCATCAATGGGTTGGCACCATGGGGTGGCCAGGCAGAGCCGGCTGGCACTGTGCAAAAAGCCCTGACTATTTTCATCTAGAAAGCATTTCTACTTGAACTCATCCATGCAGAGTGTGTGTGTGTGTGTGTGTGTGCGTGCGCACGCGCACGTGCACGAGCATATGTGTAATGGTGGGGAATTCACTAATCTGGGGTTCAGAATTTCTCATTGCTCACAGCATTGGGATTAATTCCTAAGAAGACTCTTAGCAATTTCATTTTGTTTTCTTATGAATCTAAGTTGAGTCCTTTGTGGTAGTCAGTAGCATCTCAGAGTCCTGAGCACCACTAGGGTTTTTTTTAAATGTTTATTGAATTAGGTAGAGGTGAGGAGTAGAAATCACTAGCATAATATTAAATAAATACCATTTTCACTAAAAACAGTACTTTCATGAAGGCTCTTCTAACCGAAAATGATTCCTTTCTAAGGATGTTTGCCTGCAAGCTCCCTTGTTTTTTGGGGTTTTTGTTTTTTGTTTCTTTGGTACCAGGGATCGAACTCGGGACCTTGGGCTTGACGAGGCAGGTGGCTGAACCACTGAGCTAAATCCTCTCTAAGCAAGGAAACAGTCACACAAAAAACTGCTCAAGTCTGCGCCCTTCTTCGGTGCTACTGAACGCATCCCCCCAGTACCCAGCAGATCCAGGGAGATGCTGACTGCTGGGCTTTTCCCAGGGGCTTCTGGGAAACCAGGGTCTCCCTTGCCAGCAGCCAGCTGCTGTGTGCAGCTGCTGCTGAGAGCACAAAGCCCCTGGTTCTGAGGCACGACGGGCGTCCGTTTATGCATCACACCTTCCGCTTGTGCACCTGGGGGACTTCGCTGGCTTAGAATAAACACAGAAAATAACACTCCACGTGTATACCTTTCCCTTCCCTTTGCAGTTCATTTCCACATCAAGGAAGTCGGTTTTTCTATTTTCAGTAGAGCAGAGCCCAACTTAAAATTACAGCCCATATCACTCTCCTAGCTATACCACTTGTGTCTAATGACATTATCCAAACCAAGTCACCCTCCTGACATTTCCTCCTTCCTCTTGAATGAGCCCCTCCTCCAAGGACCCTAAATAAATACCTGGGCAGTGGGAGGCAGTGGAATTAAAGTGGATCTCAGGCACACTAGATTCTGTGTAGAACAACAAAAACTCAGAATGGTTTAGCATGTGCCCCAAGCAAGGACTTTATTCACTAATTGCTCAATCCTTGGTATTTACCAGAAGTGGTTCTCTCCAATTTGTCTTCCAAGAAGTTTAAAAAAAAAAAAAAATCAGCCCTTTTACCTTTCCTCGATGTCATCAGAAAGAACAAAACTCCAAAACTGAGCATGTTTCAGTCTCCGCCCATCCTTTCCACCCTGTGCTCTGACTCCGAGCCTATCAGAGGGATGTGAATGATGAGGCTACACTTCCCACTGACCCAGCTGTTTATAAACAAAGCTCTTCCTTCTAGAAAAGGCAATGGCATTTAAATTGCTGAAAATGATCGGCCTCAACTCATCTGAATTTCATGTCGGGTGTAACGCATTCCGGAAATAGGAACCACGAGAAGTTTCCCTTTTTTGCAAATTACCTCCAGATGTGGCCTACAGAAGAATCTTTATTAAAATATCACACAGTAGCTAGTGCCCCATAATTTCTTCTTCTGTCACCTTGTTCGGAAGATGAATAACAAACCATCGATCAGAGAAAAAAAGCTCTAGGTGTTATCTGGGATCAGGTTTCAAACTGCAGCAACGTCTCCCACTTCCATAGACTGCAGCCACCTTACTCTGCCTTCCCTTGTCTTTTTTCCATAGCACTTTATTACTCTAAATTATTTATTTATTATGTTCATTGTTCATTGTCTGTCATCCTCACTAGAACGCAAGCTCCACAAAAGCAGGGAACTTTGTTTTGTTCACTGATATGCCTTAAGGGCCTAGAACCTTGGCTGACACACTTAGCTGCACAATATTTGCCAGTGAATGAGTGAGTCTGTCAACTTCTATCAGATTCAGATTTCTAGTCCTGACCTCCAAGTTGGCACTCATGTCACAGGTCCTGTTCCATGCAGACCTTTAAGGTGGTGCAAGGATACATTCATTCTTACTTCCACACACACTCGGGTCACTCATTTATCAAATCTATGGAGATGCTTCCTTTCAAATAACTCTCCACTTTGTCCCTTCTTCTGTATTCCCATTGCCCCAGTCTACACAATTAGCACCTCAAATAGAGTTCTAATTGACCTCCTGGTCTCCAGTCTCTGCCCCCCACAGATTATTTTGCATGTTTTAAGCATCGTTTTGATCGCAGCAGTCCTCTTTAATCGGCTCCCCTATCAAAACCAGCCTTCCTAAGCAGTCAAATGGTCAGGAGTTAGGTCTTGAAGAACTACAGAGTGTTGCACAGGCAAATGAGTTACCCCATGCAGGGGTGGAGGAAAGGTGCTGGGGGAAGGCTCATTGCATGGTAGTCTGGACACCATCCCAGAAGACCTGAAGGGGGAGCTGTTGGAAGAGATGTAGGTCTAGGGATGAGGTAGGTGAAAATGATGTTTGGGGAAGCAATCTGGTGAATGGATAGAAGCACTGTTTGAGGAAGACTAACCAGAGACAGAATTTATGGAATAC